GAGAGAGAGAGAGAGAGAGAGAGAGAGTTTTTTTATCTGGAGAGGTAGCAACACTGGGTTGGATGGGTTAGGGGCAGATACGTTATAAGGAAGTCTTCATATGGAAGGTGGCATTTAAACTGTGTCTTGAATGAAACTAGGGATTCTAACAGATAGAGATAAGGAGGAAAACCATTCCAAGCATAAGGGACAAAAGTTCAAAAGTTCAAAGTTGTGGTGACAAGAGGTAGAGTAGAATGCATGAATAACAGTAAGGACAGCTCAAATTCACTGTAGGGTATGGGGAAGTGGGGAAAGTGTAATCAGGTTGGAAATGTAAATCGAGGCCAAGTGATGATAAATTTTGAATACCAAACATAGGAGTCTATGTTTTATTCAGGGAAAATAAAAAGAAATTGGAAATTACTGATTAGTGGAGTGATTTGCTGCACCTAAATCACTTAAAAAGAACATTGGAATAGCGTCTATTCAACTCAATGTGATCAGTTTTATATATATGCTATTTGGAGAAAATTTATGAATCATATATTTCTGAAGGAATAAATATCAAAAATCAAATTTGTAAAAATCCAAGAAGTATTTGAAACAAGGGACAAAAAGAAGCTTAATAAACTCCATAGGACAAGAACAGTGAACAAAAAAATCAATTCTACTCAACGAGAAATATGTAAAATTAAAACAACAAATGTTTGAAGCAACAAAGAGAAACCCCTTCAGCATCAATGAAAATCTGTATTAGTCTCAGAACCATATTGTTTCCATGATAAATGGTACATAAAATTTTAATATGGCCTCTTGAGAAAAGAAAAAAAAAGTTTATATACCAACATAGCTCCTCAAGAACTGAACTTTCAGAGGAAATAAATAGGAATTTGGATTATTTATTCAGAAGAAACCAGTGAATAAGTTGAGCAGAGTATTAAATATGCAAGCACTTTTAATAGGAGAAAATCAAGAAAGGTAAATAAATGGGATTTACAATAAAATACTAAGTAATGAAGTCAATGATCTCATACTTATCAGAAAGGCTAAAGCTATTGTTTAAAGCACACATGTGCACACAATCAGACACACACACACACACATACACCCCTGTCACATTAAATGTCAATGAAAGAAGAGTGAATATTTGGGTGCAATAGAAATATAAAGGAGAAACATACATATATATGTATATACAAACATATGGAAATATGAGCAGAAAGCATATAAAACATATAATGATTTTTAAGAGGAAATATAACTGAAAAGTAAAAAGTGAAAAAACAAAAAAGTAATGAACAAGGTGATTTCACAATAGTGAAAAAATGGATAATTATCAGAAAACGTACAACCAAATTATATGCCAGCTAACTAATAATTTAAGGAAATTAGGCAATTCACAAATAAATACATAGAACTGACCAAAATAAGAAATAAAATCCAATATTAATAGGAGAATTCAAGCTACTCATAAATTACATGCTAAAGACAAAGGGAAAAAAAGGCCTAGATACATTTATAAGTAAATTCTATCAAAATATAAATGGTATCAAAATAAATTAGTACAAAAATACTTCTCGAATTTTGAAAGAGAAATTTCTCTATAAAACTCCTTTTATGAGAAAAAAGTCCAATAACCAAAGAAAGAAAGAATAAAGCCAAAAAAGAGATCTGCCAAACATTTTTAATGAAAACAGATGCAAATTTTTAGATGGAATACTAGCAGAGTACAACAATAATATACACATTTAGGTGTATATACATATACATGCATATACACATTCCTGCATAGCCAGCTAAGTGATGAAATGAAGTGCTGGACCAAGAGTCAGGAAGACATGAGGTCAAATCCAGCTTCAGACAGTAATAGCACTGATCTGAATATTTAGAAGAATTCCTTACTAGGAGCATCCTAGATTGATGAAATAACAGGTCCTATATGTATTCAGTTGCATTTTTAAACTCATGCCAGATTTTAATTTTATTCAAATTAAATTCCACCTCACTGAATTTAATCCATTCATCTAAACTTCCTGGATTTTTTTTTTGGATCCCATAATCCATGATATCCATTTTATTTGGCTTTGTGTGGACTGCAATTTTGAAAGTAAGAAAATGTGTTAGTAACCCCTTGAAGGTCATGGATGACTACGTAAAATTGATGGAGTCAAGTACAGAAACTTATCATATTCCACTAGAGATTACCTTCCACTTTGACAATGATTCATTAATTATTATTCTTTGGGTCAACCATTCCATAAATTTTGAATCCACCTTAATCTATTGCTCTGTATTCCATATCTTTCTATCTTGTCTATAGTTAAATCATGAAAGTTATTACATTCTTTGATGAAATACAGGTATGTTATGTCCATGGAATTCCATTGATTGACCAATCTCTAAAGAGAAAATGAATTGAGTCTTTTCACTGTCAAATCAACAAACATTTATTTATCACCTACAATATTCCAGGCACTGTGCTAAGTACTGAAATGCAAATGCAAGCAGAAAAAAAGACAATCCTTTTCCTCAAGGAGTTTATATTATAATGATCCAATTCAATCCAATAAACATCCAATAAAAATACTAAGCACCTGCCCTGTGCAAGACATTCTACTAGCACAGGAGATACAAATAATAAAAAGAAAGATGGGCTTTGCCCTCAAGGAGCTTATAATCTAACAACTGAGCCACACAAAAGAAGGCTGTTAAAGGAGAAGGAGGAGGAGAACACCAGGATATCTAGCATAAGGGCATCTTGTTCCATGGAATTGAAACCAGGCAGAATAGCAGATGCAGAGTGAAATGAATTCAAAAATTCAGTTTCTGCCTACCATAAAGTAAGGCATTGACAGGAGTTTGGAACTCCATCTTCCAGCATTTCAATCAGAGAGGACAGGAGGCTGTCAGGTGGTATTGGTCAAGGCTTGAGTTATCAGCATGATGTTTAGCAGTGCTTACAAGTGGAGTTCTGTAAGATCACACGTAATAGGCAGCTGAAAAAGAAGTGGCAGGGGTGGGGGTCAAGGGGATGAAGGAAGAGATGAAGATACTAAGCATGGAAGTATAGTAGACAGAGTACTGTGAGGATGAATTTGCAGTGTTCTTAGGAGAGGAATGAAGACATGGTTTTGGCCTTTACCCCCTCCTTAAATGGAGGTTCTGGGAGAATCTAGTACATCAGAAGGAGAAGCTAAAGGGGCAGAAGGGAATTTCTCATGGGAGAAGTTGTTTAGCAATGGAGTGAGCTTAGAAACAGCTAATTTCTAGTGACTATAGAAAAATCTATGGCATGGTAGACATGTAACCTCAAGAAGAACAAAGGTGGGATTCCCTTCTGATAAACCCCAATTGGGTCTTAGTGATCACCTTTGTACTTTCTTAGTGCTCATGATAAAATTCCTTTTAAATGTTTTAGACTTTTTTTCCAAAAATCATATTTACATTCACTGGCTTAATGTTTTCTAAATATTCCCTTTCACACTTTTAGAAAATGAAACAAATAGTGGATGCCTCCAAATCAGAGATCATTGATACCAACTCATAAATTATATTTGAATTTTTAGTATACATTTGGGCCCCAGTACTTGTCTTACTGATTTCTAACTTTGAGGTAGAAATAGTGAGATGAAAACTTAAACTCATCTTTCCAGTTTTGCCTTTTAACTTGCTCTATAACCTTGGGTGTGCTCCTCAGCTTCCCTGGACTTCTGGGATTACTTTTGTAAGTGGTACAAATGAGAAACTAGTGTCTGAAAATAACTAGTTTAGCTCAGAGATGACTGAGGGCCTACAGAGAGAGCACAAATAAGATGTTTTCTCACATAAAAAGTGAAATCACAGAAACATGTAGTTATAGCTTTTACCATTATGTGGATTATTAAATTTTCATAAAGACTATTCACCTGTAATAGATAAGCTGTCTAAGAATGTTCATAGAATGACCAACTAATTCCAGGCATAGACTAATACCTAAAAATGAACAAGACTAAGCCATACTGAAAGCCATTCTAAACTCTTCCATGACCCTACAAAGAAAATACCTAACTCAAACTAAAGTCTGAGCTGTTCACCTGAAAAAGGGATTAATATTTCTTACTTTGGCCATAGGCTAACCTTTATCTCTAGCACTAAGGCTTAGCAGTAAATTCCAGTCACAAACAAGGAAGAAGACATAAAAACACAAGAATTGGTTGGGAGGGAAGAACCTGTGTGGGAAAGGCAATGGAACTGAGATTCTGGTACAGAAGAAAGAGCACTCAATTCCGAATTGAAGAATTGGGTTTGAAATCTGGTTTTCTTGCTTGCTAGCTCTGTGACTTGGGCAAAAATATTTAAGTTTTCTACACTTTTCCCCTTTATCTGCCCACTTTACAACATTGTTGGGAAAATCAAGTGAACTGATATGTGGCAAAAAATTTCATAAATTATAAAGTGCTAGAGAAGTATTAGTTATTGTTGAAAAGACAGGTGATGAGGATAGGAGAATAGAGACCAATAATTATTTAAAGTACCTGATAGTGTATTATTTAGCAGAGGACATATTCACCTCTGCAGAGACTGAAGAATGCATCACGGGAATTCCTAAATTCAATTCTGCCTTAAAGAATTTCAAGGGTGCTCAAGAAATGATCCAGTAGGGGTAGCTAGGTGGCGCAGTGGATAGAGCACAGGCCCTGAAGTCAGGAGGATCTGAGTTCAAATTCGGCCTCAAACCAACCCTTGACACTTACTAGCTGTGTGACCCTGGGCAAGTCACTTAACCCCAATTGCCTATAAAAAAAAAGAAATAAAGAAATGATCCAGTTTGCTACTAATTTCACCTTAATTAGCTGGTGGTAGAAAGATAATGCCATGACAATCATAAGAATTGGCCATACTTATGTGATCTGGGCAAGTCAATTACTGTCATTTTCCTCATCTGTCAAGTAGGGATAATAACTTTCAAATTCTCTATTTCCCAACATTCATTCATTCTTTCTTTCTTTCTTTCTTTTCTTTCTTTCTGGTTGCTAATATTCTTTTTAAAAATTTATTTTATTTTTAGTTTATGGAAACAAGCATTTCCATATTCTAATAAAAAAGATGATTACACATGAAATTACAAATCTACTAAGTACAACTTACTATTCCTTTTTAATATACAACACATTTATCATGTATATTTCTTTTTTCCCCAAAATAATAGTTATTTATTCTCAAGTAATACATTCATCCATTCACAAGGTTATTTCAATATTCAAAGGAGATAATATATGTAAGTCATTGTGCAATGTATGAATTATCATCATCTCCTTCCCCTTCCTCCTCATCAGTTCTAGCACCAACATTATCACCTTTGACGCACAGACACTTGATAAACTGAATTTTGATAAATAGTTCAATAAACAAATGAGTGAATCAAATACAGAATTGCAGCTACCCATCAGGTCCAGCACTATACAATCACAAAACATGAAGCAGTACTCTCCAAAGATTTAAACGTCCCTACTTGTTCCTTGTCTGCCATCCCCAGCTATAAAAATGTTAAATCTGTGACCTTGAGGCCTAACCCAGCCCAGGGATTTATCTCTAGCAAAGCTCCAAGTTTACACATAGACTGAGGAGATTTCTCCTGTTCCCCAGGGAATTTATGAGAGTGGTGGAGTGGGAGGGATATCTTTGTGGATGGAGATAAACTGTGGTCAGCAATCTATTGGGCACAGAGGCTGAGGAGCCTCCATCTTGAGCCTATGCACAATTCTCTCTTACATAGAAGCCTAGAACCTGGTAAGTTCTAAATGCTCCTTTGAGCTTCCCCAGAAATTCTCAAACAAGGATGAATAGGAAGAAGAGCTGGAGGGGAAAAAGTGAGATGTGAGTCATAATCCTGAGCACATGAATGTGTAGGAAGGGATCCAAGTTCATATGGGTATGTATGTATCTGGGTAACTGTATTTATATATGTATTATGAAGTGTTTTCATACCTAAATACATCAATATATTTGTTTATGCTTGCATTAATGCATATGTACGAGTGAACATGTTTGTGTCCATTTATGCACCTGTACATATAGTATATAATTGGGTGTTAACATATGAGTATGAATATTAATATTCACATAAACATTGAATAGAAGAGCCTTTCATCTCTGGGACTCTGAGTTTGTATGTATATATGGATGTGTGTGTGTTTGAGGGTGTTTTTCTTATGGAAGCATATATGTGTAGGAGGGAGTATATGTGTACTCACATATATGAATAAATACCAGAGTGAATGAGGAAGGAAGTGTTGGACGAAGTAGTTGAAGGTGAGTAGAACCCTGACTTAGGGTCAAGGATAGGAGGAGAACATAGTCCATTCAGTGACCATGTAGGTTTTGGTGAAGCTTTTCTCCTAACATTCTCAGGGCCCAGACTTAGAGTCTGAGAGGTGGCGTATACCTTTCTGGAAAGATAGAGCAGATAAGAGGGTACTGATGGAGAAATCTCAGCTCAGAATTTATGCAAATTATCCAGGAACCAGCTTGTATTGTCCCCGTACACCTCTTTGAGGAACAAGTTTTGGATTTTCTCCATACCATGGAATGTATGGGGCTTTTAATAAGTCCCATTGCTGAGTAGCAGAGAGTCAGTGGGGCATTTTAGGGTAAAGAATATGGAACTTAGAGTTCTGCAACAAGCATACTTAAGGATATTTAAAATATCATTCTGTATTCTGCCTCCATCAGGCCAGATCTAGAGTTCTGTGTTTAGTTTGGGGGGTAAAGGGAACTACCTTTTAAAATGATATTGAATAGCTAAAGAGAATCCAGAGGAAATGAACCAAGATGGTGAAAGTTGGGGAGTTCATGTTCCATAAGGATTGGTTGAAGAAAGTGAGATGTTTAACCTACAGTAGACTCAGTGGGGAACATGATAGGGGTATATAATTATTTATAGGACTGCTATGTAGAATAAGAAATAGACTTGAAGAATTCAGAAATAGAAATAATAGGTGAAAGTGGCAAAGAATTAGATTTAGGCTTGATGTAAGGGAAAATGTTCTGGGATCAGGAAGATCTGAGATCAAATCTTGGATACTTACTAGCTGTATGAACCTTGGCAAGTCACTTAACCTCTATCTCAGTTTCTTCATCTGTAAAATAAGGATAATAAGAGTGCCTATGTCCCAGGGTTATTGTGATGATCAGATGGGAGAATAGTTATAAAATGCTTTGCAAACTTTAAAGCACTATATTCATCTTATCAATTACTAACATTAACAAAATCTGAGCTAAACAAAGCAGAATTTTTAAAGTCTTTGATGGCATTTTACTTAGGGGCATAGAACACCAAAGTTTAGAATGAATGAACTTTAAAAGTCATTCAATCCAACCCCCAACAAATGTAGTAATTCTTTCTGTAATATAACTACTAGGTACTTAATAAGCTTCTATTTGAACAGCTCTTTTGAGCTCCCATTTTCCCATTCTCTCTATCTCTGCCTGTTTCTATCTGACTGTTTCTCTATTCATTTCTCCCTCTAACTCTTTCTCTCTTCCCCCCTCCCTCCCTTCTCATCTCTCTCCCTCTCTTCCCACCTCTCTCCCTCCCTTTGTCTCAGTTCAAGGGTTCTTTAACTTTTTTGTGTGTCATAGACACTTTTGGAATTATGGTGAAGTTTATGGACCTCTTCTCATCATAATGTTTTTAAATGCATAAAGTAAAATATATAAGATTACAAATGAAACCAATTATATTGAAATATAGCTATCAAGATAGTTTTAAGAGGTCATTTGATATAAATGATACTGGTACTCCATATAGCCAAAAGATGTACAGGACAAATCTCTATTCATGTCGTTTTAGACCTGGGGACAGAATTTATCTTCCTTCTCATCATGTCAGACTTCAATACCTCTGAGGTTAAGCTCTTTTTCTTGATTGGGATTCCAGGATTGGAGCATACTTACATATGGATTTCTATCCCAATCTGCCTCGTGTATTTCATTGCCATCCTAGGCAATTGCACCATCCTGCTTGTGATCAAGACAGAAACCTCTCTCCACGAGCCCATGTACTATTTCCTCACCATGTTGGCCATCTCTGACCTGAGCCTCTCCCTCTCCTCCTTACCCACTATGTTGAGAATATTCTTGTTCAATGCACCAGGAATCTCCCTTGATGCCTGCTTTGCTCAAGAGTTTTTCATACATGGCTTCACAGTTATGGAATCATCGGTACTTCTGACCATGTCCTTTGATCGTTTTATAGCTATTCACAACCCCCTGAGATACAGCTCTATCTTAACTACTGCCAGAATTTCCAAAATGGGGCTGATTTTGGTCATCAGGAGCTTCCTTTCAGTACTCCCATTTCCTTTGACTCTAAAGAGGTTGAGCTATTGTCACAAAAACCTCTTGTCCCACTCCTACTGTCTCCATCAGGATGTCATGAAGCTGGCATGCTCTGACAACAGGGTGAATGTTGTCTATGGATTCTTTGTTGCACTCTGTACCATGATGGACCTAGCATGCATTGCTTTGTCCTATTTGCTAATCCTAAAGACAGTTCTTGGTATTGCCTCTCTCTCAGAGAGATTCAAGGCTTTCAACACCTGTGTCTCTCACATCTGTGCTGTGCTTATCTTCTATGTGCCCATTATCACCCTAGCTGCTATGCATCGCTTTGCCAAGCACAAATCTCCTCTCATAGTGATTCTCATTGCCAACATTTTCCTGCTGGTGCCACCCGTGATGAACCCCATCGTGTACTGTGTGAAGACTCGGCAGATCCGGGAAAAGATCCTCGGGAAACTGCTTTCCATATGTAGCAGATGAGGGCTTGGTTGGGGCTTACCTCACTTTGACAAACATTCACAAAATACTAACTATGTATCATGGAAAAAAATATTAAGCTTAGATTAAACACAGTCCCAGATATCAGGCATCCCCGAGTCCAGTAGGATAATATTCATCATATACAAATAAATATAATACATAATGCTACATAGTAAATGCCTATGATAGATGCTAAGAAATTGCTACATGAGGTCCAAGGGGAAGAAGTAATTTCTGACTGGTGAATATTGAGGAAATCAAATTGATTTTATTTTGTGTCACTATCAATATTTTGTGTAAGTACCTGTCATGTTTCATTTCTCTCTGAATTAAGTTTAGAAGTTCAGTTTTCCTGCTAATCACTATTTTGTTGTCCTTGAAATCTGTTATCCTTGAAGGATGCAAGTGTATGCCAGGGAATCTGGTCTGTTATCTCGGTAACACTGAATATTGTTAAAGAAAGTCTGGTCTGTTATTGCTGTGACACTACCTAGCCACGCAGATAGACATCACCATGAACTGTCCAGAGCATCAAGATGATAGAATCAGTTAGTTGTATCTAGCCCTGAATTCCAAATTTCCAACCATATTGTTCCTCATATCCATGATGCTTCTCACTTTGTAATCATATTGTTTCCCCATCTGTGATGATGCCTTGTAGTTTTTGGATATTCCTCCTTTTGTTCATAGTAATGATCTATCAGCCCTCATTCAGAGTCTTAGCTAGCTGAGGAGGCTGAGACTCTGCTTATTGGCAAATTCATTCTTTGCTAATATATTGGGTTGTGTGCCTCAGTTTACTTAATTTTAATTGTGACACTAGGTTGACCAAAAGCTTCACGAAAGAGGTAGCATTATATCTAGGCATAAAAGATGGGTATAAAAATAGAGAGGTAAAGCCCATAGGAAGAAAATTCCAAGTATAGGGAACTAAGTGAGCAAAGATATGTAAGCAGAAAAAATACTGGCTGTTTAGGAGATAATGAAGTATACATTTAGAAGTAGGAGCCATCTTTGATGTTATTCCAATCCCAAACCCTGGTCAGTTCACTTAACCTATTGACCTCAGTTTCCTCATCTATAAAATGATGATAATAATAGCATCTATTTCATAGGGTCAGGATTAATTTTTCTGGATTAAATGAGACAACATTTGCAAATTGCTTTGTAAACTTTAAATCTCCATATAAATATTAGCTATTAATATGTGTGTATGTGTATATATTTGTGTGTATACATATATGCATACACATATACATACATCCATATACATAAACACACATATTTGAACAGCTTTGTTCAACCTTGGCTAACAGAAGATTCCTAGTGAATATGCTTGAATATCTCTAATCATTAAAAAAAAAAAGTGAAACTGTGACAGGTAGCTGGTTGTAAAATATAGTCTTCATAGTGCACCAGACACATACCCCAAAATTCTCTACTCTTTTCCTGCTTTCTGTAATCTCAGAAAAAAAAATAGGGGGATATTTAACTAGTTAATTAGCTAAGGTTGTGTATATGTATTATGTGTGTGTGTATATATATATATATATATATATATATATATTTATATTTCACCAGAGGGTGCTGTTTACACATGTGTAAACTCCCTCCTGACAAAGTGTGGGAGAAAAGAAGTGTTAGGTAGACAACATTAGCCCAGGGTACTGTGTAGATCTAGTGTTATGACATGGAAAACTATTCAACATTATTAAAAATCTCTCATCACTGATTTTGACCTTCCCCTCTTATTTTAGGTTTTCCTTTTCTTATTCTGAAGTGAAAAATCTTAGGACTTGGACCATTCATTCATTTATTCATTCAAGTGTTCATTACTTTATTTATTATTTGTTTAATCTTCTATCTATCTATCTATCTGTCTGTCTGTCTGTCTATCTATCTATCTATCCATCTATCCATCTATCTATCTATCTATCTATCTATCTATCTATCTATCTATCTATCCACCTTGGTTTGTCTTTAATGTCTATGATTGATTGGAATATAGTTAGTTAAAAATAAAAACTTTCAAGGAACAAGATGTGGTGAAACTACTTTACCTTGTAAACTCCCCTCCCCCTCAAACTGTTTCTAGTCAGTGGATGTGGAAAAGAATAATGAGAGATTAAAGGTTGTTTTGTTTTAGTTTTGAACTTCATAGTAGCTCTTCATCAAGTTTAAGAAATAAGAGGAAGTCAGAATTCACCTGCACTTCCAATATGGTATCACTCTTCCCTCTGACTAGGGGTTCATGGGAGCTGCCACTGTAGTTCCATCTACTATGGGTTCTCAGGCAACTGTCACAGTTTCCCCATAACTATTCCTATCATTTCTCTATTCTTTCTATCTTCTATTTCATTCTCTTGTCTTCTTGTTTCCACTAGTATTTCTGAAACCATGTCAAATAAATAAAGGGAATGGGCAATTTCTTGCTTTACTCCATATTTGGAATCTTTTAGTTTCATAATGGCATGCTTACATGTATTCTGGATAGTAAACAATGCTCTCATGCTTTTCTGGTCAGAGTGAAGCAGGGATGTGTGCTTGCTCCCATGCTTTTTTAGCATAATGTTTTCAATGATGTTGTCAGACACCTTCAATGGGGATGAAAATAACATCAAGGTCAGCTACCACACTGATGGCAAATTATTTAACTTGAAAAGGTTGCAAGGCAAGACTAAAATGGAGGGAGAGTTGGTATGCGACTTTTTCTTCACAGATGATTGTACACTCAGTGCAGCCTGTGAGACTGAGATGCAACAGAATATGGATTGATTCTCTACTGTTTATGCTTATTTTGGCCTAACAATTAACACCAAGAAAACAGAAGTTTTCCACTAGCCAGTACCATACCAGCCATACATAGAATTCTCAGTTACAGTAAATGGAGGAATTTTGAATGCTCTGGATAAGTTCATTTATCTCGGCAGTATACTTTCCATGGACATAGATATAGATGATGAAGTTGGTACATACATTGCCAGAGATATCTCAGTATTTGGGAGACTACTAAGAAAAGTGTGGGAGAAAAGAGGTATTAGACTTACTACTAAGCTGAAGGTCTACAAGGCCCTCGTGTGACCTTATTGTTGTATGTCTGTGAAACCTGGACAGTATACCAGCACCATAACAGAAAGTTGAATCACTTCCCTTTGAATTGTCTTAGGAAAACTCTGAAGATTATCTGGCAAGATAAGGTACTGGATTCTGAGGTTCTTTCTCAAGTTGAACTGCCAAACATTCAAACTATTGCAGAGAGCACAACTTCGAGGCGCCAGCCATGTTGTTCAAAGGCCAAACATATATTTACCTAAAAGACTATTTTACTGAGAATGCACACAAGGCAAACACTCACATGCAAATCAAAAGAAGCAATGCAAGGACACTCCCAAGGTGTCTCTTAAGAACTTTGGAATTGATTATGAGACATGGGAAACACTGACCCAGCATTCCATGCCCGCAACACAGATGATACTGTGCTCTATAAGCAGCAGAATTGCAGTAGTTCAAAAGAAACTCAAGATGCACAAATTTAGAGACATCTCCATTCCAAATGTTTAAATGAACTATTTGTGCCTGACCTATGGCAGAGCCTTCCAAGCTCGTACTGGTCTGATCAGCAATAGACAGACACACTGTACCTTGACCCTAACATTGTGATGTCATTTTGATCCTCTTCTAGAACAAAAGAAAACAACCACATTTAGAATCTTCTAGCATTTCTCTCTCACATAAGAGCCCAGCTTGTGGTTTTTGTATATACATTTTTTATGTTTTTTAATGTTCTTTTTATGCCTAGGTTTTTTTTTAAAAAAACATAGATCAGTGTTACGTATTTTTAAAGTATTTTTCTAAATTTAGGCATCATAAATACAAAGCCAGAAGTGACCTTGGAGACTATCTAGTCTAACCCCTTCATAATACAGATGAGGAAAAGAGATGTTAAGTGACTTACCTAAGACCCCACAGTAAAAAAAAGTCAGGACTCAAACCCTAGTCCTCTGACACCTAATCTAATACTTGTTCATCCGCAACACACTGCCTGAATAGTGTTATCTTTGATATAAGTGTGTTCATTGTTTTCTTAATACTGAATAATCTCTGTATGCCATTAATAAATCCAATTTTATCAAAGTGAATATTTCTTTTTGCTATATTGCTATTGTTTGTTTTGGACAGAATTTTGTTTCAAATGTTTAAATCAATAGTCATTAATGTATTAACTTACAGTTTTTCTTTGCTTTGTTCTTCCCTTGTTTAGCTATTAGGAATATATTTGTCTTATTAAAAGAGTTTTATAAAGTCTTTTATCTCTCCTTTATTTTAGAATAATTACATATTATCAAATTTTTAAAGTTTGATAGAATTCATGTAACTATAAATCTACCTGCAGGTCCTGAAGATATCAAATATCATAGATGAGTTTACTTAGATATTGGGAAGTATCTTCTGTTTCTGACTTAAGGAAAAGCTGTCCCAAAGACATAAATATACATACATACACATACACATGTTATGTATTTGGCATATAAATACATGTCATGTATTTTCGCATATATACATGTAAGCACTATATAGGACTTTCCAAAAGTCTTAGTACAGTTTTAAACCTTAGTGGCTTAGAATAGAATTTGGGGACATATTATATATATTTTATATATTGAGAGTTATGTTTTCAATTATTCAGCATATGGTACTTTTAGAAAACCTTTCCCACATTATAATAACTATCATTTACCTAGCACATGTCACACATTATTTCCTTTAATGCTCAACACAATATTGAGGGGTAGGTACTATAGGAAGCATTATTCCATTTTACAGATAAGGAAACTAAATCTGAGGGAGGTTAAGGGACTTGTCTATTCTCATGAAGATAGCAAGTGTCAGAAGCAGGATTTGAATAAGGATTTGCTTTAATCTGTTTCTGGCACACTGTCAACTATATCATGCTGCTACATGTTTCATCTTCACAGTTGAAAACACATGCTTCAATGATG